CAGGTATACAGTACTATATGTGACATAAGCTTTTTTTAAAGGGAAAAGATGGGGGAAAAAAGTCAGCGGATACGTGATGATAAAAGTGAGGGTGAGAATTACAGAGAGCGTTGAGGGTGCTACTCTGACAGTTTTAGCAATGGAAGAAGTAACCACAAGCCAAGGTATATAGGTGGCTCTATACGTACGAATAAGGAAGAAAACGGATTCTCCTATAAAGTCTCCAAAAGGAATGTAAACTTGATAGTACTTTTATCGTAGTGCACCATACTCCATTCTATATTCCCAACCTCAGTGATTATAAGATGAATCTCTGTTGTTTAAGCAACAAAGTTTGTGGTCATTCATTCCTATAAAGAATAGCAGAAGGAAGCTCACACAACTTCAGACTTCAAGGGGCTGCAGAAATGACTCGGTGCTTAAGACCCAGGTTCGGTTCCCAGCACCCACATGGAGGCCAACAATCACTCATAAGTCTAGCTGCAGGGGAATCCGATGTCCTCTTCTGACTTCCATGGGCACTGTACAACATGGGTGCACCTACCTACATGCAGGCATAACACTCATACACATAAAATAAAAATAAATATTTTTATAACTTCAGATTTCAAATGACACCCCGACACCAGTTAACTTCTGGATTGAAGCTGTGTAGGAGACACTGAGCCACATATGTAGTTAAATAGGACTTATGATGACTAATCCTGATGGTCATCTTCATTGGATCAATAACTATCTAAGATTAGTAAAATACACTGTTAGGTATGTCTTTGAGCGTATTATCAATGAAGATTAACTAAGGGGAAAAAGACTTACCCTGAATATGAGCAGCACCATCACACACTCTGGGTGTGATGAATAAATAGATATTAAATAGATAATAAATAGATATTAATAGATAATAAATATTCCAGGTAGAATAAATAGAATAAAAAATGGGGAAAGGGAAGAATACATTAGTATGGGCATTCTCTCTCTCTTTCTCTCTCTCCCCCCCACCTGCTCCTTCCCTCCCTCTCTCCCTTCCTCCCTCTCTGCTTTTCCAATGCTCAGCTCAACCAGGCCATTCTCACCATGATGGACTTAAATCTCTGAAACTATGAGCCAAAACAGATTCTTCGTCCTTTAAATTGTTGTCACAGCAATGAAAAATTTAACATGGGCCATGCTGGGGTGCCACATGCATGTAATTTCAATACTTGAAAGGCAGAAGCAGGAGCATTACTGCAAGCTCAAGGCCAGCCTGATCTACATATCAAGTTCCAAGCCAACCAGGACCATACAGCAAGATGCTACATATCACAGGATGCACACTCCTGATCCTAGTGAAATGATCATAGAGTGAATAGGAAAGGATTTTTAACTCATTAAACATATAGTAATTGTTAATGAGGCATTTAATATAAATATCAAGGCTCAGAAAAATATTTTATTAGAAGCCAACCTTAAGTGCACATCCTTTTAGCATTCTGTGTGGTGGAATGGGAAGTGGGTTAAGGCATTTTGATTATATATTCAGCTATATCAGGTGGCCTTAGAAAACCCACTTGTGTGATTGTTTTGAGTTAATCCCAACATTTGTATACCACATGTGCTGTACCACTATACAAGTGCTGTACCACTGAGCTGCTGCCCCAGCCCTTGATATTTCAGTTTGGGTCGAAATTAGCCACATTATATTTCCTCATGGAAAATCAGGTTTACTTGAGACAGTGTAGGACTATGTATAGTTATTCAGATTTGAATATTTGCCAAGAATTTTGTGAAAATCAAATGAGTTTGTCACTTAAAGAAAACCCACTGGCAGTGTATAAGACAAAGAAAATATCAGCTTTGGAAAAATTAGAACTTTGGGCTGTAGATGGCTTAGTGGTTGAGTACATGCTGCATAATTATGAGGCCTGGAGTTCAGATACCAGGACACATAAAGAGCCAGGCATTCCATGCATCCTGACCCCAGCTCTAATTAGGACAGACAAATGGATAGCTGGGGCTTGGTGGCTTCCATGTTAGCCAAGAAAACCTGAGCTCCCGAGTTTAGGGAAAGACCCTGTCTCAAAGGAATAGGCAGAATGTGAAAGAAAAGGACACACAATGACCACTCCTGGTCTCAAGGTATACATCTGCACAGGCCCCACACACGTATGCATACACACACACACACACACACACACACACACACACGAATAAATAAAAAATAAATAATTTTAAAAGAACTAAAATTTTAAAAAATGTGACTCTAGAACCATAAACCATTTAAAAAAAAAATCCCCGCTGATGAAGGTAATTTTGTTATTGCATAGGGAAAGGTGTCATCATCATCAACAACGCTGAGCAGGACGCCAATATTTCCCAAATATACTATATTAGAAAAAAATAACAAATGGATACATGATCTATTGGTAAGGTAAGACACTCCAATGAGATTAAAGAGAAGTAAATAGGGGGAAGTTTTGAGCAGTAACTTTCAGGTTTGGGAATCTTAATACGAATTTTAACATAATTAAGGAAGAGAAAGCGGGAATGGTTGTATTAATATCCAATAAAGGGCCAATCCTGTAGCAGCACAATATGATCCTAAATGTGTATGCACTGGAAAACAGACTCAATGCACAAAACAAATATCAATCGAGATAAAGGGAGAAATAAACAATTCTCCAATTATAGTGGGGAATTCAACACCTAATTCACAGCAATTAAATGAACTACTATACCGAAAATCAGCAAGGAACAAAATCAGCCATCAGGTCTAAATGACCTATTGAGAACACGCCACCCACACAGTGTAGAATTTGTGTGTTTCTTAAATGCCCAGGGAACATTGTTCTGGCTAGACCACTGCTATGCCATAAAGCCAGCCCTGATCAATTTTAAAGATTAAAATCCATGAAGTATACCGTCCAACCAGAACTAGAAATCAAGGACAAAAGTAGTAGGGAAATTCACAGGTAGAAGCTGGGGGGATCGACTGGTCAGTAAAGCGCTGTCATTCCATCCTTAGGACTACAAAAATCACGAAATAAAATAACCAATAGGTCCAAGAAGAAATGAAAAGGTAATAAATACTTTGACAAAAATGAAACCAAACCACAACCCACTAAAACTGATATTGCCACATCCATGCCAAAAAGGAAATTCTTTGCTGTAAATGTTTTAATCAAACCACATAAAATTTAGGTAATGCCAGTGCTAAGGAGGCAGAAATAGGATGGTCCCTGGGGCCTCCTGACCAGCCAATCTGACAGAATCAACAAGTTCCAAGTTCACTGAAAGACCCTGTCCCAAAAAATAAAGAAATGTGGAAAGTGATTGAAAAATTACTTGATGATGTCAACTGGGCGTGGTGACACACACCTTTAATCCCAGCACTTTCGAGGCAGGGACAGGCAGATCTCTGTGAGATCAAGTTGCGTGGGCCTTGTGCCATGCATCCCTACAAAGGGAGTTCCAGGTAGCTAAGGCTACAAGGAGACCCTGTCTCAAGGAAAAAGAAAAACCCTATATCAATGTCACTTCTACATGCATACATATACACATAAACATATGAGAAAATTAAAATTTTTTTTAAAGTCTTCCCACAAAGAAATATCCAAGAATATATGGCTTCATTAGTGAATGCTATAAAACATTTAATGAATAAAAAACAATTCTTCAAAAAAAAATTCACCACAAGGTCAAGCCAGTTAAAGGGTCAGTGTAGATGGGGGAAGTATTCCCCAGGTCCCACTGGAAGAGCTATGGGCAGTTTATGGCTGTTGAGGGAGAGAAAGCCACTTTTCTTTGGGGGTGTGGCCACTGGTAGTCAGTTCATGCCTCAGTGGATGGCCTTACACCCGTGTGCAAGCAGGCAACACTAATTGGACTCAGTAGATTATGTAACACACACACACACACACACACACACAGAGAAAATACATGAAGCTAGGAGGGAGAGGTGTTAAAGGGACCTAGGGGGAGTTAGCAGAAGGATGGGGAATAGTTATGATCAAGGTACATTATATACACATGTGAAATATTCAAAGAAAAATTAATTTAAAATGTTAATAAAAAGAGAAAAAAGTTATCCAGAAAACAGAAGAAGATAATACTTTCAAATTCATTAAATGATACCAAAACCTGCCAAAAGTATCACAGGACAAATTCAGCTATATAACCACTATGAATCTAAAACCCCCAACAAGACAGAACACCAAATGCAATGAAAAGCTCATGGCTGGGGCGAGGGGGAGCATGTTGGCACACCGTTAATCCCAGCAATAAGGGTACTGAGGCAGCAGGATCAGTGACTCTGAGGATACTCTGGGCTACAAAGCAAGTACCAAGTCAAAATAAACAAAAGATGAGTTATATTTCAACTGATTTTTTTAAAGCTTCCAAAGCAATTCAATGGAAGGATAGCCTTGCACACAAACTGGCAATTTGGAGCAAGTTGACATTCACAGGAAATAAGAATTTTAAGGAAAAAAAAGATAGGAGAAAGACTATGGGCCCTAGGTTTACACAAAGACTTTGGGGTTCTCAGACCTGGCAGCAAGAACGGGATTAATAGGACAGCATGAAATTTACAGAGGTTTGAGCTGCAGAAGGCCTTGTGAAGGTCAGCTCTAGAATACTTGCAAATCACATATCTAAGATCTACTGTCTTAAATCCTTAAAGAGTTCTCATAGCTCAACAGTAAGAAAAACCCAAGTCCAAATTATCTTAATGGACATGTCTTTAGTATTAACTTTCAATTAATTTCTGAAGATTGTTTTCAGTTTTCAAATGATAAATATCGACAGACATGGCCCACATAAACAAAACCTCTTAAAATCCTCAATAATTTGGCAAGGATTGAGACCAGAATGCCTGAATGCCTCTGCTTGAGAGTTCTCGTACGGCTGAAGTGGCCGAGCTCTGTCAGGCCTTGAAAGGCACATAGGGGTGCTATGTGAACAAGAAAGACACATCATGAAATACAGAGGTGGCCTGCAGTTTCAGCCAGTTAGGATTTACTTACGTCCTCCTCCTGTCCCTGGTTTCCGGCGGCCATCATCTCGATCACCCAAAGCATCAGTCAAGTCAAAATCACTCCCTTCAGTGGGCCACAAAACACAAAGGAAACAAATAATTAATAACTGGTACGAGATTCAAAAACAATTTAAAACACCACCTATGAGTTTGCATGATCATTACAAGGAATGAGTTAAGGCAAATTAAAACCCGGACAAAAGGCAAAAACAATGAAAAGAAACATGGATCACATAAATCACAGATTAATACTACAATAAGACAGCACTACACATTTATCAAATGATGAATACCAAAAGGTAGCAAAGATACAGTGAAACTGGATCACTCATAGAATGCTCAAGGGAATTTAGAATAGCCACTTATAAAAACAAATGGGTGTGGTGACACACACCTTTAGTCCAAGCACTCAGAGGCAGAGGTGGGCAGATCTCAGTGACTTCAAGGCCAGCCTGGTCTACATAAGTTCCAGGCTAATTGGGGCAACAGGGAGACCCTATCTCAAAAAGACAAAAAAAAATGTGTAAATACACTCTGGTCTACCAATTGTACTCTTGCCCTTATTCCTAGAGAAAGAAAGGCTTACATATTACAAATACAGCTCTACATGAACTGGAGAGATGGCTCAGCAGTTAAGAGCTCTCACTGGCTGCTTTGCAGAGGACCTGGGTTCGGTTCCCACACCTACATATTGGCTAACAACTGTCCATAACTCCAGTTTCAAGGTAATCTAACACCTTCTTCTGACCCCCAAGGGCATTGTATGACACAAGTACACTTACAAGCAATACACTCATACACATAAAATAACAATAATAAAAAATAAAATTTTCAAAAAATTTTTAAAAGACCCCAACTGGAAACTCTGGCATCCTTCAATACATAAAGCACTGAGCAAACTTCAGTATGTGCATACCAGGAAAAAGTCTTCAGTAATTAAAAAAAAAAAACGACTGATCCACCCATCAGTTTCAATGCACCCCAACTGAATTATACTGGGTGATAAATGGCAATTCTAAAAGGTCTACTCTGTCATTTACATAACCTTATTGAAATGATTTTTTAACTTTATTGAGAATTTCATATATGCATACAAGGTATTTTGATCAAGTCCATGCCTACTCCCTCCCCTCCAACTCCTCCCATGTTTCTCCATCCATCACTTTTTTCTGACAACTTCGTGTACCCTTCCTTCCTTCCTTCCTTCCTTCCTTCCTTCCTTCCTTCCTTCCTTCCTTTCTTTCTTTTTTTAAATGTGGCTTTTTGCCTCTCTCTCTCTCTCTCTCTCTCTCTCTCTCGAGCTTTTTGCTACTCTAACATTCTCCCCTCTGATTCCCTATTGGCAATTTGGGTAACCTCTTCAGAGGATGGTGTGATAAGAATAGGAAGTAGGAATTTGGTAAGCAATTAAGGTAAAAAAGACCCCAAAGAAAAGTAGCCAGTTTCTTGGCTAAAAGTCAAAATGTCCTTGGGCGTCTTAGCAACATACTCTGTTCCAAAGGCCAAAAAATGTTAAAATTATTTGAAATGACTTTTTTTCCAGTGGAAAGAGATGAATGGCTTCCAGGGATTAAGGAAAAGATGGGAAAAGAATTAAAGTACAGTAGTTGCCATGGTTATAAAATGGAATCATAGGGTACTTATGGTGAACCATTTAGTATCTGACTACAATGGTGGGTGCATAAGTCAACAGGTGTGATACAATTGCATAGAGTGTCACACACAAGTACAAGTAAAACGCCAGGCGTGGTAGAGCAAATAAATAAATATTTATTTGACAATCAAGAGGAACTTAGAAAACAATTGAACATTGTTTTAAACTAAGAAATTTGTGGTAATGTGTTCAGTAACACGGGAAGTTAATATAAGGAAGTAGAAATATTAATTTTATGGAAGCATGGTTTTTAAATATTCTGTCTGACAAAGTCCATTTAAATGGCTCAGAAAACACATCAAAATACAAGGATCGGCCCATTCTCAACGACATGAGCCACTCCACTTGGGAAATAACTTCCCTTGAAAGATGGAATTGAAGATGAATACATAAAGGCTCTTGAAAAGAACAACTGTTGTGCCAACTTGAATATTTAGCAGGCATTTCTTGTAAATGAATAAAATGAACTTATCAACTGAAGACAAGGCCTAATGATATCTGCGGCAAATGGTCAAACTTAAGATTCAAACAAGAGATAGAATTTTCAAAAACTTTTATTGGTGACGGTGATGATAAGAGATTCTCAACAGTGAACAGCTTATTAAATTTATTTATTTATTTGTTCATTATTTATTTTGGGGGTAGTGTCTCACCACGCAGCCTTGGCCAGCCTGGAACTTGCAATTTAGACCACACTAGCCTCAAACTTTTGGTGATCTCTTTCCCTCAGCCTCTGTAGTACTGGGATTACAGGTGTGTGCCAACACATCTGGCTTGCTAAAAGGCTTTTTCCAATGAGGCAGGTGGCAATATTAACCAAGTGACTTTGTAATATTGTAGAGTGAAACTTGGTAACATATGGGCACAATACATTATTCAGGGCACCAATATTTCCAAGTGCAGTATTGGCAAACCATGAAAAAAAGATTCTTTCTCAAAGAATAGGACAGTCCAATGGGGTTCAGCGGAGTTGAACAAGGAGAATTCACAGATTCAGGTTTATTATGGAAATAGAAGAGCACAGTTAGATGCTAAAAAGCTTTTGCAACGTGATGGTAATTAAGAACTCTGAAGCAGGGAAAAGTCCCCAGATAGAAATGGGGACAGGGACAGGAATCTCCCCCTCTCCCTTGAGGTTATGCAGGATGCAAGTCTTTGTTTTCCAAAGCTATCACATTCCTGTAACTGCATTTCTATCACCTTTACAGCCCAACGTTATCTTAATTACAGTGTATATGCTGTGTACCTTTTGCTTGCATTCCTCACATGAGTATAAAAACCTTCCAAAACTTGAACAAGGGGTCTAACTCTTTTGATTTGTGGGTCAGTCCTGCTTGACTTTGGCTATTTGTCTCCGATTTTTTGGTAACAGGTTCACATGCCATACCACACGTATCCTGGGAGTAACAAGCACTGGTCAGGTTTTGGTGTCCTCTTGAAGATGACAGTCTCAACTAATGTAAAAAGCACATTGAGCTCTCTTTCCTTTTTCCTGCTGCATATCTGTGTGAGGCCAGATTTTCTTTATATATTTCAACCTCAGCCACACGAGACTCCAGACATTATGGAAATTCACAAAATCAGAACACAATGTCACTCTTTACTCCAAATTGCGTTTTTGTCTTACAAGCACAGTTATTTCTCATAAAAATCCGTTACATATGTGAATGCATATGGCTTCTTCACAATAATGAAACTTTGGGGGAGCGTTTTTGAGACAGGGTCTCCCTGTAGCTCCCGCTGGCCTGCAACTCACTATGGAGACCAGGCTGGCCTGACCTTGAACTCACAAGGATCTGCCTACCTCTGCCTCCCAAGCGCTGGGACAGGCCTGTGCTACCACGCCTAGTTCATTCATGACATTTTTAAGTTTTAAGTTCTCAGATGATAAATATTGATAGATGTGACCCCCACAAAAGCTCTTCAGATCTTTAAAAGATTGGAGAATTTATAGACAAAATGTTTGAGCATCTCTATTTGAGAGTTCTCCTGTCACTTGAAGTGGCCCCACTCTGTCAGACCATGAATGGCTCATGATGATATTGTAATTAATAAGGCTGACCCCAACAGGGAGCTACAGGGCTAGCAGTTTAAAACAATATTCAGTTGTTTTCTAAGTTCCCCTATAATGAGTCTCAAATTTTTCTGTACCTATTTATTAAAAATGTTATTTATTTTTATGTGTATGAGCCTTTGCCTGCATGTATGTATGTGTACCATGTGTATGCAGGGCCCACGTAGGCTAGAAGAAGGCATTGGATACCCTGGAACTACAGTTACATATAGCTGTGAGCCACAGTGTGGGTTCTGTAAACCACTGAAGTATAGTTGCTTGTCAGAATATCTCAAGGTCATGCTTCAATGACTGTGGCTTCAGTCAGCTAGGACTCACCTCCTCCTCCTGTACCCGGTTTCCGGTGGCCATCATCTCGATCACCCAAAGCATCAGTCAAGTCAAAATTGCCTTCGTTGGACCCCAGAACACAAGAGAAACAACCGATTAACAAGTGGCACAAAGTTCCATAACAAACGGAAGAAAAAGCAAATACCACCCATGAGTTTGCCTTATCAGTACAATGAGTTAAGACCAGAAACTTAAATTACAATTTGATTTTGTGTAGGCATTAATAGTAGGCATTAATATGATGAGGCAAGTCTGTACAGCGTTGCCAGTATTCAGTTAAGTTATATTAGGCATGCTTTGATTAGTTCAGCAGTCAGATCATTTAACAGTATATCCATTGATGGTACAGGTTAACCCAACATCAAAACTAGATGCAGATAGTCCACAAATTGAACAACTGAAAGGAGGATAATGTGGTCTCAAAGCACCTCTGTAGAGTGCAGGAATGAGAATACATCAGGGTAATGCATAAAAACAGTCCAATTCTCCTGGGCTTTTTCCAAGGAAGAAAACTCTTTCCTGCATGGAACATACTAGCATGCCCTTAGAAGTATCAGTTATGAGGCACCAATAGCAACAGTGAGAGGGTCCTCAACCCCAAGGCCAAATTTTTCCTTACATCACAGAAGATGTCCAAATGGACTGCCTGAAGAATGACTTAAGCAATTCCAGGACAGAGTCACAAAGATTTACTGAGTGAAAGATGAGACTGTGAACTATATCATTCTAAAATGCTCCCAGTGACTAAAGGCATCATAAAACCTAACCAATTAATTGGGGTTGGGCATTTAGGTCAGTGGTAGAGCTAGGCCCTGGGTTCGGTTTTCTGCTCCAGAAAAAAAAAAGACAAAAACCTAACCAATTGATTCTTCCCTAATTCTAGAATATGAAATGGTTGGCAATGAAGAGGTCTGAATGCACGGTTTTTTGTTTTGTTTTGTTTTGTTTTGTTTTTGTTTTTGTTTTGTTTTTCTGATACAGGGTCTCCCTGTAGCCACAACTGTCATAGAACTCTCTATATAGACCAGGTTGGCCTCAGTCTCACAGGCATCCGTTTTCCTCTGTCTCCTGAGTGCTAGAATTAAAGATGTGTGCCACCACGCTCAGCATGAATGCATTTTTTTCTTAAAAATTTCATAGGCAAGGGCTAGAGAGATGGCTCAGCAGTTAACAGCACTGACTGCTCTTGCAGACGACCTGGGTTCAGTTTCTAGCACCCATATGGTTGCTAAAAACCATCCATAATGCCACTTCCAGGGGACCCAACACCCTCTTCTGATTTCCATGGGCGTTGCACAACATGGACGCATTTACATATATGCAAGCCATACACTCATACACATAAAATAAAAATAATACTTTTTTAAAAAAAATAAAATTAGGCAGGATTTTTCATTTACAAAGCAAAAAAGAAGGACCAGTTGCAGTGGCACATGCCTTTAACCCCAGCACTCAGGAAGCAGAGGCAGGAGGATCTCTATGAGTTTGAGGCTAGCCTGGTAAGTTCCAGGACAACCAAGGTACAGAGTGAGATCTTGTCTCATGCACACAAACAACAACAAAAAAACCCTGCATAAGGTATGACAATCAAACATTCTGTTGAGTATTCTGTTGAGTTCAAACTAGTGTTTAGATGGATACCTTTACTGGCTTTTCATACATCAGTATATATACCCATGTATGAACTATACATAGCTCATTCTGATACTGCCCCAGATGGAGTTCCAAAGAGTTTGAAGGCAAGCCTTGTTACCTGCAGGATTTGCTGGAGCTCTAGTTGTTCCTGGCCTCCTGGTTGTGGTGCTAAAGTGGTCCCATCTCTCTAAAGGGAGGGGAGGACAGTAAGGGGGACACATTTTGTAAGAAAATACAGCAGCTGCATCATGAATTGCAGAAATATCATGAGAAGGACAACCTCGGTATCACTCTCAGAGGCCCCAGTAGACTATGGCCTCCAAGGAATCACACTGAGCAGAGTGATAATATCATGTAGGGTCTGGGACTGGGGAAATAGCTGAATGATGAAGAGCACGTATTGCTCTTGCAGAGGACCTAAGTTCAGTTCCTTGCACCCATGATGTGGAGGTCCCCAAATGCCACTGAATTGTTTACTTTAAAATACAAACTTTCAGATACAGGGTATAAACAGATCTAGAAATCTAACATATAGCATGATGCTTACAGTTAATAAAAGAGTATTGTACTGGTAAATTTTTGCTAAACAAAAATTTTACTTTATGCTAATTTTGGCTGCTCTTGAAAAAGAAATGGTTATGTGAGCTGACAGATGTGTTAACCGTCTTCACTATAGTAACCACTTCACTATCTCTGTATCATAACAACATCACGTTGTGTATCTTAAACTCAAAAAAAGTTTAACTTTAAGATAATGATTAAAGTTATTTATCCATATGAACTTTAGTAGTATTTTTTAAAAAAAAGACTACACCAATGAATGAATTCTTATGGTGTATCTGTACATGTGTGTCTAGATGAATATATGTATATATATATATGTATGTATAATAGGCTTCATATACTGTGTGTGTGTTTCCTTATTGAGACAGTTAAGCAAAGGCTCTCCAAGTGGCCGTTAATTCCAGTGACAAGTGTGTGTAGAAGAGAAGGAAGACACAGAAATGGGAACATCATATAAAGACATAGAGATGCAGTGCTGGGGAAGGTGGAAAAGGAATCTCCCCTAGAGGCTTGTGAGAGAAAGTGGCTCTGCTGATACCTTCACATAGGTTTTATATCTTCTAGAAGTATAACAGGTCAAAGTTCCCTTTTTGTAAGCCATGTACTATGTGGTATTAATTATAGTATCAGGAAAAAGCTATTATAGGTAGATTCTCTCTGGTATTCTGGTATTCAATATATACTAAATGAAAAACTAAGATAATGCTTTTCTCTTTCTCTCTCTCTTTTTTTTTTGGTCTTTTTGAGACAGTCTCCCTGTAGCTCCAGCTGGTCTAGAACTTGATATGTAGACCAGGCTAGCCTTGAAGTCACAGAGATCCACCTGCCTCTGCCTCCCAAGTACTGGGATTAAAGGCATGTGCCACCACGCTCAGCAAGATAATACTTTCATACATATGGCTATATGAAAAAGCCCTACACATGTGGCAGAAATCAAACAGATGATCAAATATGCCAACTGATCTGTTCATGTGTGTATGTTTTTCTTAAGGATATATTCTGAGTGTGTTGTCTCTGTCGATCACTTTTAGTAGTTTATTTGATTGGCTACTCACGCTTTACTGAGGAAGTTTCTTTCAGTGCATCCTCCAGATTAAAATCAAAGTCCCCATATGCTACAAATAAAAAGACAATTTTAAGTATTTTTGCATGATACACAATAATACTGAAATATTCTCTCTTTTTCCTTACTATTATTATTTGTGGCTCTGAGAAGTGAACCCAGGGCCTAGAGTATGTTGGGTAAGTGTCAAAATGGCTGTCAAATATATGGCCCCATCATCAGCACACAAATGCATATGGCAAATATATTAATAGATATGAGGGAGACTGTGACACAATAATAGGAAACTTTAAAACCCACATCCACCAGTGAATAGATGCTCTAAACACAATGGAAGGAAACATTGGGTTTAAGCTATGTTTTCAGCTAAATGTATTTAATACGTATTTACAGAACACTTCATCCAACCACAACAAAATATACACTCTTTTCAAATGCACAGGCAACACTCTTCGGAACAGATCACCTGTTAAGATACAAGGTAACTCCGAACAAAGACTGAAGAAGATTGAAATCATATCACATATCATTTCTGACCACAACAGCATGAAACTAAAACTAAATAGTGAGAAAAATCTTGAGAAACTCACAGATATATAGAAATTAATCAACATGCTTCTGCACAATCAATAATCAGAAAAAAACAAAAACAAAAACCAGGAAAGCCTCCATCAAAATGGACAATGATCTTTCTGAGATGTTACAGCTCAGAAAACTAGAAAATACAACAAAGGAAAAGCCCAATATAGCAGAACAGACATTTTTTTAAGTTCAAAGCAGAGATTAAAAAAATAGAAGATAGAAAATTGTGCTGACTGGGGAGATGGCTCAGGGAGGTGTCTGCTGTGTAAGCATAAGGACCCAAGTTCGGATGCCCAGCAACCACATATAAAGCTGAATCTGTAATCCCAGTGCTGGGACATAGAGGCAGGAAGATCTCTGAAGCTCTCTGCTCAGCCAGCCTAGATGAATCAATAAGTTCCAATGTCTCATTTAATCCAGGGTGGCTTTGAACTTGCAGTGTAGCTAAGGCTGGCCTTGAACTTCTGATCCTCCTTGGTCCTTTTGAAAAAAAATGATTCTTTTAAAAAAATTATTTATTATTTTTATTTTAAGTGTATGAGTGTATTGCCTGCATGTATGTGAGTGCACCCGTGTCATGCAATGCTGCAGAGGTCAGAAGAGGGCTTCAGATTCCCCTGGAACTGGAGTTAAGGATGGCTCGTAGCTGCCATGTGGGTGCTGGGAATCGAACCCAGGTGCTCTGCAAGAGCAGTCGGTGCTCTTAGCCACTGAGCCATCTCTCCAGCCCCTCTCCTTGGTCCTTTTAAGATAGGTATTTAGCGAGACTAACAAATGAACAAAGAGAGAAGACCCAAACTCAAGTAAAAGAGGAGACATTGCAAGTAATATCAGAGGAATACAAGTGATAACGCCCGTTATGAACAACTGTTCACCTATGAAGTACATAATGACTGATTTCAGAGGAACATGTAATCTTCGAAGACTGAATCAGGAAGAAATAAAAAATATGAATAGACCAAACATGACTACAGAGAGCAAACCACTAATAACAAGTCTCCCATCAAACAAAGACCTAGGATCAGATGACTTCATCATTAATGAACTCTGTCAAAAACGTAAGAGAGAGTCAGTCCTTGCCAAACTAAACTCTTCTGAAAAGACCGACAATGAGGGAATAGTTCCAAAGGCAGTTTATGGGCCACCATTTTTCTCATACCAAAGGTAGACAAGGACACTACAAGAAACTTGTATGATAACATTCTCTGATGAACACAAATGGAAAATTTTTCAAAAATATACTACTAAACAGGATCCAACAGCATATTAAAAATACCATTCCCCATTATCAAGTAGAATTTAAGGATAAAGGAATAATATCTAAATCAACAAATGTAATACATTTTGCTAACAAAAAACTACGATGATCTCAAAAGATACAGGAAATTCTTTTGACAAAATTTAATCTCTGTTCATCTTATAAACAAGTATAATAAGGAATGTGCGTGAACAACAGATGGGCCATACACAAGGAGCCCATGGCTAACATTATAGTCAACAGTTAACTTTTCCTCTGAAATCAGGAACAAGATTTGGTTATTTCTACTCAGTATATAAAGAACTCAAGAAATTGAACACAAATAAATAAATAAATAAATAAATAAATAAATAAATAAATAAATAATAAATAAATAAATCCAATCAACAAATGGGCAGAACCCAAAATGGACATTTTTCAAATGGAGAAGTACAAATGACCAATAGATACACGAAAGAAAGTTCAACATCTTTAACTATCAGGATAACGCAAATAAAAACTATGTTGAGATTGCATATGACCCTAGGCAGGATTTCTATCATTTAAAAAAAGCATAAAATACTGGCGAGGATGCAGGTGTCCTGGGGGAGGAGCCCATATACAGTGCTAGTGAAAATGTGAGCTGGTACAGTCACTATGGAAATCAGTGCAGCAGTTCCTCAAAGAACAAAAATACCATTCTTGTGACTATATCCAAAATGATCAAAGTCATCCCACAATAGGTATATTCTATGTTTTTGCAGCACTAGTGACAAAAGCCAAGTTACACAGTTATCCTAGTTAAATATCCATCAGTGGATAAGTGGGTAAAGAAAATATGGGACTCTCCCTCTGGCACTAACACAGTTTAGAAATCAGCTGATTCATCCTAGGCCCAGCTCAGAAGTCCTAACCCCTGGAATCTGAGGGGTCAGTGTTCAAGCATTTGGCAGAAAAGCTACCTCATTCGATGAGAATTTTAATGAGAAAAGCACACAGTGAGCTGGAAGTGTTTTTTTTGATAGAGAAATGTTTCCTGTGAACTTGGGTGTATCCTTGAGAGTATCTCCCAAATAAAAGTGCTGGTTCATGGGGTTGGAGAGATGGCGCAGCAGTTAAAAACACCGGTTGTTCTTGCAGAAGACCCAGGTTTGAATCCCAGCACCCACATGGCAGTTAACAACTGTCCGAAACTCCAGTTCCAGGGGATCCAACAGTTTCTTCTGTCCTCCGCAGGCATCGCACGACACGGGTGCACTTACCTACATGTAGGCAATACACACACATAATTTTTTTTTTTAATTTTTAAAAAGTGCTGGTTCGATCCAAAGACAACCCACTGGCTAGGGTTCGCCTTTCAGCAGAATTTTCCCTTTGGGAGAAAATACAAACTTGACCTCTACTACAACCTGACTTAGGACTGAGTTGGAAGCTGAGGGTGCATTTTAATGAAGGCTATAAAACAAGACACAGGAAGCCCTTGTTAGCCAATGATGTCATAACCTAGCTGTATGCCACCAACCACCAAAACACTGATGGAAATGTCTGATCCTTGAGAGACTAGCTGATGGGCCCCGTAAGTAACCTTTCATTTGGATTTGATTAATTCATCATTTTTCCATCTATTGTTCCTGCCCACTTCACTTAGTTTATCCTGAAAGCACCCCTTTCACGGTAAGGGCTTATGAGCATCCTGTATAGGCATGCCCTGTCCAACTTGGTAGTCATTTTTCTCATGTGGTTACTCAAAATAAAATTAGTGAAAATTCAATAAATGTTTAGGTGAGTATCTCCAATCTGTCCCCCAAATTACCAGTACATAGCACTGGATATGACTTGATGACAATGCATTTAGGGTTCATGCCAAGAGCACCTCTACAGAGGGACATGTCTCCTGCATGCTGTTTCGTTAAGAATTGCAGAGGCTTCTGGGACACTTCCCAGCCAAAGATTTCAGAAGTAAAGCTGAAACTTAAGTAGAGATCAGTACCTCTCAAGTGGCCAGTGACATCCATCCCCCTGTTCACTAAGGATGGTTTCTATTCTACCACTTTGCTATGTACATGTAAGCAGTTCCCAGGTTTTTTGGAAAAGAGCCCAGTATAAATCCTAAGTGAATAAATACTCACCTAAACTGCTTCATTTTTCAAATTCTGAAATCTTGACCATTTTCTGAGTATGTGAATAAGAAAGAACACCAGGAGGCATCTTAGTCCGGTAATCATAGATGTGTCATCTCAACTTTCCCATTTGTCTGCCTTAATGGAGGTTCCATTAAACCGAAACTATACTTATATGTGTCCATGAAAGCCATGGTGCCACTCACTTGCCTCTCATCTGTATCTACACACATCAAAGGGTGCAAAGCTAGGCTGGGCGTGGTGGCACATGCCTTTAATCCCAGCAGTCAGGAGGCAGAGGCAAGCAGATCTCTGTGAGTTCAAGGCCAGCCTGGTCTATATAGTGAGTTCCAGGTCAGTTGGAGCTACAGGGAGACCCTGTCTCAAAAAGACAAAAAAAAAAATGGTTCAAAGCTACCTACCAAAAAAGAAACAGACTTGGTCATCAAGGTGCAAGGAAAGCCCACTACAAGAATCAGAATCAGACCTCAGGGACCAAATCATGTCCCAGCCATTCTGTCTGTGGCACTGCTTCTTGATCTCTTGGGCTCGAGGAATAAGAATAGGCGGGTGTTGGGGAGCTATCTCACTCCATAAAGTACTTGCCATGCAAGCATGAGGACCAAAGTTCAATCTCTAGCACCTATGTGAGAAGGGAGGTGTGCTCACGCATGGTCATAACCTCAGGGCAGGGGAGGTGGATACTGGTAGATTCCTGGGGCTCAGTGGCCAGCCAGCCTAGCCTAATTAGTGAACTTCAGGTTCCAGCAGGAGACCCTGTCTCAAAATACAAGGTTCCTGTGACTCCTGAGGAACAACATCTGAAGTTGATCTCCACATGCATGCACACACAGACACACACACACACACACACAGAAGACATTAATACTTCCTTGTTTCTGCTAAGGGTAAAACGGAGTCTCACCATCATACAATAAGGGCATCACCTCCTGCAGTTGCTCACAAAGCCTAGTATCTCCCTGCATCCTGGGCAGAGGGCCACTGGAGCCACAGCTAACAAAAGGAAAGGCTACAGGTCATAAAAGACAAGTTCACACTTCAAAGCCTATCATAGAAACATTCCTGAAAGCTGCTTGTGGGAAGTCCATGGGG